TAGAAGCAAAAAGGATTTATTGGTGCCGGGAAAACGGTGGACACTGGGAAGCATGTGAGGGTTGCTGAGTGAAGGGGAGGTTTCCAAAGGGACCGGGAGGCAGAGCTGCTGAGGCCGGAGCTTGGCTACAGAGAGCTGGGTCACTCCGACGGGGAAGCTCTGCCATAAACGCAGACAAAATCACAGTTAGACAAAAGGACGACTCTACTAGCAAACAGTTTCCGTAGACATCAAGCTGGCCTGTTACCACTCGAGGCAGGAATAGCTACTGGCGCAGGAGCACAGGTGGAGGCAGGCTTTATCCAGCGCTGATTACACTGGGTCACAAAAAAAATACTTTTTTGAAGGTGTCTAGGGTTTTTTTAAACTGATTTAGGACATTTTTGCAACGCTGAATCCAAAAGTGACATCTGCTTTTCTGTATCAGGTCAGGTTTTCATGCCAACTTGATTAAAAAAAAAATCAATTTTACAATTAAATCGATTACATTTTTTGACATTAGCGACTGATTTATTTTAGTATTTCTCATATGAAAATGGATTTTAGAGGAAAAATTGCATTTTCTAATCCTTTTCATGAGCTAAATGATCCACAAGTTGATGAGCGTAGACATTTGTAAAGGTAAATATGAGTAAATTGCATGTTTCATCAAATTAAAATTTTGACCTCATTGAGCAAAACCAATGTTTGGATTCAGCACATTGCAATTGTCCAAAATCAGCTCAAAAACCTTTGACACCAAAGTGGGTGTCGACCAGTGTTATCAATGAGGAGAGTGCCCCGCCCAGCCTGAAACGACTTGCAGCCCGCAACACACAAGCACATACACCACAACACACTGATCGCAAAACACACAAAAACTCACAGTTTTGTGTCTTTTTGTGGTGGTTTTGCATCTCTTTGTTGCCGTGTTGTGTTGGTTATGTGCTAACTACAGTGCAGTATAATTCCTGAGTACGATTATAGCAGTGTAGTCTGATTTTTCCTCCTGCAGCAGAATCATACTGAGGTGCAGTCCTACATGGTGCTGTGCAGAATGGTCCGACTGCACCGGATGATGCTGAAGATAAATCCAGTTTTGTTTTTATTTTCCAGCAAAGGTTTGAATGAAGCTTTTTAGAGAGAACCATGACTTTTCTTTCTTCTTCTCCTCCTTACATGCAGTAATATCTGCAGCAGAATGAAAGCATCATTGAAGAAAATGAGACACTGAGGTTAATAATGCCTGTTCCTCTTCACTCTACAGTGTTTTAGGAGCGTTTGTTTGACGTGTTATCGTCCTGTAAAACTTTACAGAGTAATTTAAAAATGTTTAAGTTCCTAAAACCTCCTGAAAATAAATAAATCAATCAATGTAATAATGAGAGTATTTGTGTCTTTTCTGATATAACTTGAGACGTCTGACTCTGACAATGGAGGCGAAAGACATCCGTCTGTAGTGACTTCAGACCATGAATTTACTGCACAACAACACAACACAACAACACAACAACACAACAGCGCCCCCTGTAGTCACAAGCCAGTTTAACCCCGATCAGGCGGATCAGTTTGATTATCGTTTGACCAACATTATGGAGCAATGAGAGCGCCAAATTACAGAAATAAATCTAAAAAAGAATAATAAAATGAAAGTGGAAATATAAAGAAATAAAAAATAATAATGTGGCAATATAAAGCAATGCTAATCAAGAAATGAACCAATAAAAGAAAAGACTAATAAAAGTAGAAATATGAAGACAAATAAATCAAATAATACAAATAAAAATAATCAGAAGAAATGTGCTTTTATAAAGAAAAATTCATTTAACGTTGTGATCAGTAAATTGACATTGTTTTTAAGATGCACTTTATTGCAGATTTTTAAAAATTTCTTCATTGTTGCTTGAAAGGCCACTTACAAGGCACATTATAACGTTATAATGTCGTTTTAAAAGCAAAGGAAATACGCAGCAGTAGGAATGTCTTTGTGTGCAGGTGCAGAAGGAATCCCCACATATGTCTATATATCTATTTCTAGATAGATATAGATATGTATGTAGCTGCAGGGTGGAGCAGTGGTTAGCATCGTTGCCTCGCAGTAAGAAGGTCACTGGTTTGCATTCCGGTGAGGACACCCGGGATCTTTCTGTGTGGAGTTTGCATGTTCTCCCCGTGCAGCGTGGGTTCTCTCCGGGTTCTCCAGCTTCCTCCCACACAGTCCAAAAACATGTTGAGGTTAATTGGTGATTCTAAATTGTCTGTAGGTGTGAATGTGAGTGTGCTTGGTTGTCTGTCTCTAAGTGTAGCCCTGTGACAGAAACAAGATGCGTCTTTATAGATTTGTTGAATTTGAAAAGTGAGGCGATTTTTTCTTGTGTTCTCGTCCTCATTTTAAAACTCAAATGCTGCCACCTGCTGGTTGTTTGTGGGTGTTTGGGCTCAAATATGAAGCACTGGAGAATATTTTTGTATTGTTTTATGTTACGTTGGGATTGTGTTCTTTTATTTTCTGACAGATTTTTCAATAAAATTTAATTATTTATTACTTGTCACTTGTAGTTTTTGATCGGCAATGATAATAATCATAAAAAATGTCATCACCCACAGAGTCGATGTCAGGCTTCTTTTTTATTTTTACTCGGATCCACAGACAGTCCTGGTTCTGGTTCAGAGTTGTGGTTTCACTGCTGCTGACCATCACGTTTCCCTGCGAGTTGTCCTGCAGAACAGCGTCCATCTCCACGTTCACCTGAACCCTCAGGTGAGAGCCCCCCTGAGAGCCTGCAGGTCCTGCAGTGGACTGACAAAAAGTGGATAAAGTTCTGCAGTAAATGTGTGTAACTGTTCAGAATGAATAAAATAAATGAATAAAATAATAAAAAACACTTGATCATGTACCCTAGTGAGGATTAAGCGGTGTATAGATAATGGATGGATGGACTTGATCATGTTTGTGCTGCAGCTGCATCACTTCCTCCTTCAGACTCTGGTGCTGCAGCTGTGGATCGGTTCTGCGTGGATTTAATTAGGCTGGAACCTTCTTTAGCCCGCTGACGGCCTCCACCGACTGACGCAGAACCACCTCGTTCTTGTAGCTGAGAACCACAAACCCACCTGAGTGTTGATCCAGAAGAACGAGCTCAAACAAAACGTGTTTAATTAAATATTCTGACTTGACTTTGAAGTCGTCGGAGGCTTATCAATGGCGGTGATGAGGGCGGCGTTTTCATGAGCAGCAACTTGGATCTGAGCTCAGATAAACACAAAATCAGTTTGCTTTTAGATAGAAAACTAATAAATAATCCTGCTGACTGTTTGGAGCCTTGTGGCCACCAGGCGGCGCCAGAAGAGGCAAATCACAAATACAAGCTTCACTGATTATTCATCCATCCATCCATTATCTATACACCGCTTAATCCTGCCAATCATGGGGGGCTGGAGTCTATCCCAGCTGACTCAGGGTGAAGGCAGGGGACACCCTGGACAGGTCACCAGTCTATCACAGGGCTACACTTAGAGACAGACAACCAAGCACACTCACATTCACACCTGCGGACAATTTAGAATCACCAATTAACCTCAACATGTTTTGGACTGTGTGGGAGGAAGCCGGGGAACCCAGAGAGAACCCACGCTGCACGGGGAGAACATGCAAACTCCACGCAGGAAGATCACGGGTGTCCTCAGTGGGACGTGAACTGGTGACCTTCTTGCTGCGAGGCGGTGGTGCTAATCACTGAGCCACCATGCAGCCCATCTTATATTTAAACATTATTTAAATATATAAATGAACATGTTAAAAACTACGACAACACTCCGACTGTGTTTGATTGGCTCTTCAGTCTCAGGTGATTTTACCTGTCAGGCCTGAATCTCACAGGTGTTCTACATCTCAAACATGTTTTGCAAACACTCAGAGAACGCTAAATTACCAAGCATTTAAACAAACATTTAGAACAAATAGAACTGAACTTTTTCATGGAAATGTAACCATCAAACTGTTTTTTTGTTTGTTTGTTTTTACCTTTTTAATAAGAAAAACTGAATTAAACTGAAAGCTTTTGTCCAGTTTGATGTTTTTTTGAGTCAGTTTTTTTCTGTTTATATGTATGTTATTTTACGATATATCCAATAGTGTTAATTGTTTAAAATGAAAATGAACATAATACATTCATATATTGTTTATAGTAGTTTTTTGGCCATATTACTGTTTTTTAAATTCTATATTTCTATTTCCTAAATGCCAGAATAATGAGAGAGAACTTTTTTTTGAGAGAGAATTTTTTATTACTTTCTTTAAATCTGAAGTTTCCATCCACTAAGTTGCCTTTAAACTATTTGGGAAAGCCCAGATGATGATGTCATGGCTTTGGAAGCTTTTGATAAGTTAATTGACATCATCTGAGTTAATTAGAGGCACACCTGTGGATGTATTTTAAGGCACACCTCAAACACACTGCTTCCTTTTGTGACAAACATTTGAAACAACAAGTACTTAAAATGCAGTGTTTTGGGTGGCAGATACCTTTAAAACTACAAGTACTGGGACACAAAGTAGTATTCTGGTGGAATAAACGTGTAAAACTCAAAGTAAAGTAAAAGCAGCTCATGTCTTCCATTACTTTAGCATCACAGTCCATCTTCCTGTCCAGTAGGTGGCAGCACTGCCCCTGTAAGCTGCTTTGCTCAGCCACTACATCTCCTACATGCTCATATCCATAAATAAATACATGCAGTCATACAATAAGATCATTTGACCTGCAGCTTGCAGTAACTCAACAGCGCCCCCCAGTGAAGTGTTTTATTAATACCTTTTAATGCTTTTTCTAATAATGAGTTTTCTACAGTGTATAAATATTTTCAAACCAAAAGTTATTAATATTCTTGGCCTCTATTTGATCATTTCAGTGTTTAATCATCTACGTTTTTATTTTAGTTTGATTTATTGTAATATGATATAAAGTATTTGACCACACAGTGTTTTAATTCGAATAAAATGAATAAAACACACAAACACAAGGTGTCGGTTCATCAGAGGCATTTTATTTGAGTTCTTCTGATGTTTCTTAGCTGATCTCAGTGGTTTCTGATGTTGTTTCTCCATCCTCAGTGACCTCCTTGGTGACGATGACGACACGGCGAGTCGTGGTGGTGGTCGACGACTGAGGAGCACTGACGGGAAAAACCAAAAGGTTAGCTTAGAGGGTAAGATTTAAACGGAAGATCATATCCACACGTGTCCATGTGTTTCTCTACGTTCATGCTTCAAGTCCTTCAAGTTAAAATGTTCTGCTTTAGTTATATATCACGTTTTATGAAATTCATTTGTTACTAAAGTAGACTCTTTTGAACTTCCTTCGAAGCATTACTTTTGGGGTTATATATCTGAATTTTTATTTCCATATATCGGTCTGTTTTATTGTGTATTTACAAATGGAATTTCTTTTGCAATTTACACATTTATTAGTGAATTATGCAAAATGTACAAATGTTTTTCTGCTTTTTATGTTCTTTCTTGAATTTTTGACTTTTTTGAAGAAAACTTGGCCTTAATTATGTTTTTTAAAAAAAAAAAATCATATTCCAAATATTCAATCTATAGACTGTCTACAGTTTTGAAGATTTTTCTGCAGACAGAAACATTGTTCACTAGTTTTACAGGTTCTTTATATCCTTGTTTCGTCTCACCTGAGCAGCTCTCCATCCAGCAGCCTCCTGTACTCGGCGATCTCCAACTCCAGCCTGGTCTTGATGTCCAGAAGCATCTGATACTCCTGCGACTGCCTCTCCAGGTCGGCCTTAAGCTGCATCAGCTGCTCCTCCAGCATGGACACCTGGTTCTGGTAACTCACCAGCATCATGGCGTACCGGTTCTGGGTGTCAGCGAGGGTTCCCTCCAGAGACGATTTCTGATTGGAGGAAAGAAACCATGTGAGCAGATTTACAGAAGCTCAGTCTGAGTGAAACCGTCCAGTTAAAGGTTAGAAACCCACCATGCTGAGCTGTGATTGGAGCTCGATCTCCAGAGCTTGCAGCGTGCGTTTGACCTCCGTGACCTCAGAGCGAGACGTTTGAAGGATCTCTGTGCTGGACGCGACTTCCTTATTCAGGGTGTCTCTCTGCAAAAGCAGCAAAAACACAATAACAACATGTGAGACAACAAATCTGAAAGTTAAAAAAACTGAGTAAAAACCACTGAAGAATCAACCTGTATGCAGACGACACTCTGCTGTTCACATTGAGATTATTGGATGGACTTAATGTGAGTTCATGTATTCATGTAACTGATTTTAAAAATATATGAACATTTACATTTTACCTCATATAAAGCCAGTTTTGCTTCAAATTGAAATTACTTAAAAAAAAAAAAAAAAAAGTCACTTTCTCTTGTGCCACTAGGTGGTACTAAAGGGTCTTAATTTTATCAAAGTAAATGCCAAAAACACAATTTTTCCTCCAAATTTTTTCTGAAAAAAAGAAATTCAAAGATTCAATTTTTTTGCATCATGAAGGAAAGAAATTTTGAAATGGGTTTGTGTTGTTCGACAGGAGTTTCCTGTGATCTCACCTTAGCCTGGAACCAGGTCTCCAGCTCTTTGCGGTTCTTGCTGGCGACGGTCTCGTAGTGCTCTCTAATTTCAGCCATGACGACGGACAGATCCTGCTGAGGAGCAGCGTCCACCTCCACGTTCACCTGACCACTCATCTGGGCCCGCAGACCGAGCAGATCCTGCAGGACCACAAATAAATCATCAAAACTAAGAAAAAGTTCACATTTTGTGTTTAGTTTATCCTTTCATTTTAAATCTAAATTCTGCGGTTGTTATTTGAGCAAATTAAAAGGTTCCTTTTTGTCTTTGGACTCTGATAAATCAGAATTAGCATAAATGGTCAAAATAGTTATTGATAAAATTTCACTGTGGTGTTTTTTTGGCTCATTCGTCTGTTAACACGCTAAAAATGTGTTTTTTGTTTGTTTTACAGTTTTTAGCTGTAATTTTACTGTTATTTTACAGATTTTCCTTGTTTTGTCAAATTGCAGACAATAATTAGTAGAATCACAAAGAAGGGTATTCATTTACACGTTTCATGTGAGAAGGCCAAACCTTTGAATAACGTCGACATCAAAAACCTGTATTTTTTCAGTTGCAGTGTGCTCAGTGTGGTGCTCACCTCCTCGTGATTCCTCTTCAGGAGGATCAGTTCCTCCTTCAGACCTTCGATCTGCATCTCCAGGTCTGATCGGGCCAGAGTCAGCTCATCCAGCAGCCTCCTGAGCCCGGCGATGTCGGCCTCCACACTCTGACGCATGGCCAGTTCATTCTCGTACCTGCAGGGGGCGATAGAGGCATTGATCACATGACACAGCAGTAATCTCCTGGTTTTTCCATTTTTGTGTGTTAATATCCAGGTTATTGACACGGTTGTGTGTTAACGTAAAGTTTTTTTATACTTTCATTTTCAGGTTTAAAGGCTATCATTTACAGGATTAAAACCTTGGTGCACTTACTTGACCTTGAAGTCATCAGCAGCCAGCTTTGCGTTATCAATGGCCAGGTACAGACCTCCATTTACACGGGTACCATCTAAGATCTGAAAAACATGCAAATTAAAGTCAAATTTCCCTCATTGTGTCGTTGGTTTCATCATGTAAAGCAGAGCTGTGGTGTTCAGGGCGTGGCCGCACTGGTGTTCAACCGGCAGGATTCAGTTTCAAACTTTGAGCATCTTTTTACTCTGAGTCTTTGTATTGTGTCTTTAAACAGAACCAGAATCTGGACTCACCTGTTCCTGCAGCCCATTGATCACGGCCATGTACGCAGAGCAGTCGTGGCCTTCGGGTTTGGTCTTGCTCTCCAGGAACTGCCGGATCTTCAGCTCCAGGTCGGCGTTGGCGGCCTCCAGCTTGCGGACCTTGTCCAGGTAGGAGGCCAGGCGGTCGTTCAGGTTCTGCATTGTGGCTTTCTTGTTGTCGTTGATGTCTGGGATGGCGTCAGCCAGGTCGAAGCCTCCGCCACCGGACATACCTGAGCCAGAGAAGCCTGATCCAGAGAAACCTGAGCGGTTAACTGAGGCAAAGTTTCTGGGACCTGCATAGCTGGAGATTCGGACCTCGTTGCCTCCGGCACCGGCGTACACGCTGTTAGCCCGACGGGAGGCGTAGATGCGGTTCTGGGTGGACATGGTGGAGGTGTCTGCTGCTCTGGATGGAGGAGAGAATGCAGGAGAGGCCGGACTTGGCAGCTTTTATGCTTCCTGGAAGTGGGGAGGGGTTCAGGTATTGCCTCGGGGCAGGAGGACGACCAACAGCCACAAATCACGGAAGGAATTTAAAGCACACACCTGTTGTACCTGTGGGAGTCGGAGAATGTCTTTGAGGTGATGCAGTCGGTATCTGTTTTCATTGAGTGCTCATTTCCAACCTCTTCTGTCGCAGATGGATTCCTGCTGTCAGGTGGCGACATGCCTGCTTTTGGCCCTGAAGGCGTAGCTTCGCCCCCCTACTCCCTTATTGTGCAACCAAACAATGAGCCACGTCTTTCAGCTGCTGTTTGCTCTGACCAAACACTGATACTGATCAGTTGCAGGGCTGGTTTGCTACCACTCAGCTCCAGTGCTCACATTCAGGTAGACAAATACATCCAAAGCTCTCCTTTCTACTGTAGCATGTAGTGCAGATAATAAATATTCTCCCCCTTTGGAAGTTTTCCTCCTTCATTGCTTTTCAGTATTAAGACATGATCTGTTTAAAATTGGAATTTACTAAAAAAAAAAAAAAAAGACCCATTTATGCAACAGTGACAACAGATTTCTACAAAGTAATGTCAATTAATTATTTAATTTAAATTGTAAAATCAATGATTGCATCAGTATTCACCCCCTTCAGATTAGGTATTTATTACCTTTGACTGCAGTGACAGCACTGAGCCTGTTTTCTTCTCAATCAGCCTGAACATCTGGACGCTGCAATTTTACTTCATTCTTCTTTGTAAAACTATTCAAACTCAGGTTACACAGAGATCATGAGTGAACAGACCTTTTCAGTCCAGACACAAATTCTCAGTTGGGTTGAGGTCTGAGCTCTGACTCAGCCACTCCCGAACATTCACCTCGCTGTCCTTAAACCATTCCTGTGTCGCTTTGGCTGTTTTCTTCGGCTCATTGTCACAGCTCTCTTGCAGCCTGAGTCAAGTGTCCTCCAGGATTTCTCTATACTTTGCTACATTCACTTCACCCTCTACCTTTACAAGCCTCCCAGGCTCCTCTGCTGAGAAGCATCAACACATCACGATGCTGCCTCCGCCATGCTTCACATCACTGATGCCGCGGCCACCATCTTTGACAGCTGGAATGGTGTGTTTGCGATGATGGAATGGTTTGATATGAACTTTTTTCTACAGCGTCTTTGTCTTTGTCACTCTCCCATAAAGCTTTGACTGGTGAAGAACAGGAAACAGTTGCATCTCTTCCATCTCAGCTGCTGAAGCTTGTAACTCCTTCAGAGGAGTCATAGGAGTCTTGGTGGCTTCTCTTACTCGTTTCTTTCTTGCTCGATCGATCGCTCAGTTTTTGAGGACGACCTGCTCTAGGCAGATCGCGTTCGTTCAACATTTTACACCGCATTTAGCAAACAATTTTATGTAAATTACGCAAACAAAATGTCATTTTCTGTTAATTTTCACTCATCATATCTAGTTTTAGAAATATATTTACAGTATTAGACTTGAATCATCTGTTAAATGAAACTGAAATGTTTGTGAAATTATAATAAATTTGTATTTGAATTGTCTTTTTATCAATAAGTGTCAATTTTCTTTTAAAAAATTACAATTTTGCGGTTGTTCACCATTACTATTCATTTACATTGTAGCTGTATTAATATTTTCCAGTATTTTTAACATACAAAAAACATACAATAGAAATGTTGAGTTATACAGCTTTGCAGTTGTGATTACATCTATTTAAAGTCTGCGGGGTCACACTGATCCTCCTGTAACCAACGAATCTCACTGGTGTGTTTTTAATTATTGCTGTTTGACTGATTGATGTTGTGAGACGTTTCCGATTAGTAAAAAACTTACGACATCACCGTGGGTGGCCCAGCAGGTTTCAGCTGGAGTTTGCCACAAAGTGTTTGAGCAACAGGCGTGTTGTGTAACTCTGTTGACAGAAGGCTGGTTTGTTTTTCAGTTGGATGCTTTTAATCTCACAGGTGAACAATCTGATTTTAATGAGCTGCTGTTGATTCAAAGTTCCAACCAGGCCTACCGGCAACAGAAAGTGGAAGATTAACTCCGACTGACGGCAGCTTTATGGAGTCTCATCGTAAAGGCAGCGACTTTGTGATTCATGACAGGATGTAATGAGGAGGAATTTAAATTCAACAATCAAAGACAAAACAGACATGAGACGTTTTTGTTTTTATGGTCCTGACTGGGAGTTTTCATAAAAATCTGACACAAGACAATATTTGATTAAAGAAAAAAGAAAGAAAGAAATTAAATTTGATTATTTATTTCACAAAAATTACCTGTAATCAACAAGTCCACAGGAAAATATAGAGGTTTGACATCCTGTAGATATGTAACTACTCACATGCTCTGCTGAAACGCTGCCTGCACTTCGTCTGAAACGCTCTGAATTTCTATCATGTGACTGTTGGTTACAGCGAACTCGATCATGGTTGTTGAAGTATCCAGCTGTGTCCAAGAATCAACCTTCTGGCTGATCATTTTAGGTTTTCCTGAATAATGTGGAGGTACTCTTTCTTCATGATTCCATGTACTTTGTGTAAACCACCAGCAGAACAGCCCCAGAGCATAATACTGCCACCGCCATGCTTGATGGTAGTTTTCTGTTTATGGACATTGTGATCAAACAGCTCAGTTTTTGTTTCATCTGATGACAGAACTTTCCTCCAGAAGGCTTTTTCTGATCTGAGAAGTCACGAAACTTACAACTAAATGACTGCCTCACAGTATTAATATATTTCTAAGGCTCTGACTCGCTGTAAACCTGGAACCTGAAATCATCTGAGTCAGACTCATATTAATCCTCAGGGTTGTTTAGCTTTTTAATGTCATCTTATTCTACCTGCAGCTGCTCTGATGATTCACTGAGTCTTGAATCTTAATTGTTTATTCCAGATGGGTACATCATTTAATTAATTTGATCTCTCTTATTGCTACACTTTCTGTTCATTCGTGTCTTTTCTTGATTGTGTTGTAAATACGACCTTGAGTAATTTGAGCGATTTATTCCCGTCATTCATTTCATGCATAACTGCAACATCAAATTCGAATTCTCTTATTTAGATAAACATCATTTTGATGGTTTATGATGTTGCATCAATTTAATAATGTGTGCAATTTAAACTCAAGTTTCTGCGTTCATTAATTATGAACTAAATTCAAGTTGAGATAACTTAGTGAAATTAGCTTACACCTAATATTTTTTCACTTTGAGTTCAGGATTTCCAGTCTTCTCTTGTATCTTAACATTTAATCCCCTACCTCACTCGAGTTTGTTGATTCAACATCATTTTATAGAGGTTTGATCTGAGATGCCCTTTACCGATTTATCTTCAGGTTTATGAGTGAAAATCCTGCATTTTTATTATATTTTCATTAAAAAGTCAAAGTCCTAATTTTGCCAGTTTTCCTAAAGTCTTCTTAGAGAGTTCTATTTGTTTGGAATAAACCTTTAAAACTACAGGTAGAGTTTTGGCTGAAATAACTTTTAATCTATAACTACATCGAGTAGTTCTTACATGATTGGAATACTGCTTGAATAAACCTTTGAAATTATGAGTCCTATTTCAGCCTTTAAAACCTGAAGTCACTTCAATCGTCATCTGTGAAGGTAGACGGCACTGTCTGGATATAGAGGCCTCTGCAGGTGTGGTCTTGAGAGTGCAGCCTCTGGTGCTGAAACGCATCCTGTTGAACCCATGAGCGCTGGTTGGACATCATTAACCTCCACAGAAGTCTTTGGCTGTGTCCAAAATCATCCACTCACTCATTATATAGGGACCAGTATACGAGGTGTGTCAGAGAAGTTCCAGGACTGGTGTCACAAAAGATATATTTCAAATCCAAACTACAAACTACATTGGCATGGGAATGGCGGCGCGCATAGACGCAGCGCCCCCTTCAGGAGACAATGAAAGTGAATGTTTTGAGTGTCTTGTCTATCCCAGACGTTAATTCTGCAAAACTTGCAGCCGAGAGACTTTGCTGGACATCAGGACAGTGAACGGTGCTGAAATTGTGGCGATCGGCTGTGATGTGGACAAACTACACTAACACGGAGTCCGATCGGAGACGACGCCGGCAGCTACCCGAAAGAGAAGGAAGCACAAACGGTATGAACGTTAACGAAGGAGGAGGAAGAGAGCCGGGATCCATGCT